CAGTTGGACATTCTGGTTTTTATACTGCTCTTTTTTAATTCACTAACGCTCTAAAAATGAATATTTCAGCCGCAGTAAAGAGTCAACGTTGGCGGATTTTGGTTCTTGACATCCTTTACGATCGGTTACGATGCCTAGAGTACGGAGATCTGTACGATTTTGTCAACTTAGTGAGTTTGATAGGGGACGTATAGTGGGACTTCAGGAAGCTGGACTTTCTTTTCGGGCAATTGCAGTTAGAGTGCAAAGAAGTGTAGACACTGTGGTTAGGTGTTGTCAGGCATGGCTTCGAGAAGGCTGTACGCAAAGAGCAAGGGGCACTGGACGCCGCCGTAGAACAACAGACCGTGAAGATCGCCGCCTAAGATTATTGGCCTTAAGGGACCGTTTCTCCACTACCAGGTCCATTGCAAATGAATGGTTTGCAGAACACGGAAGACCTATTGGCATGCGAAGTGTTTACTGACGAATGAGAAGTTTTGGCTTGTTTTCATACCGGCCACACTGGGTCCTCCCTTTAACTCGAGAACACCGACGTAATCGCCTTGAGTGGTGCAGACAACGGTCACTCTGGGATCAGGAATGCAACAGCATTGTCTTTAGTGATGAGTCTCGATTTTGTTTAGGCATGCATGATGGTCGTGCCAGGGTTAGAAGGCGACGTGGTGAAAGGAGGAATCCACAGTTTTTTGTTGAAAGACATGTTCATCACACTGTTGGAGTTATGGTTTAGGGTGCTATAGCGTATGGTTCCAGGTCACCTTTAATCTTCATCAGAGGTAACACGAACGCGCAGCGTTATATCCACGAAGTTCTAGAACCCCATCTTTTACCCTATCTTGACACCCTGGCAGATCCAACTTTCCAACAAGATAATGCCCGACCACATGTTGCAAGAGTCTCAATAGACTTCTTTCAACATAATGATGTCACATTGTTACCATGGCCACCAAGAACTTATCCCCAATTGAGCACGTGTGGGATATGATGGGTAGGAGATTGCTCAATTTGCAACGTCCTCCTCAGACTCTAGAAGCACTTCGAGAGGAGTTGGTGGTTGCCTGGTATGAGATACCACATGAGGACATTGATCACCTGATCAGAAGCATGCTTAGGCGCGTTGGAGAATGCGTAGCACATCAGGGTGCATCCACACATTATTTAAGGTCAAAGGGCTTTGAAGCAGTGCAATCATTTTGAAATTTTTATCATTTACTTGTTATGCTTCATTAAATACTTACACAAAATTTTATTAAAATAAAACCATTTAAACTGGGTGTTCGGATCTATATGTCACTTAGTATATTAACGATATTCTTGATACTTTACAATACTGCAAAATTCAACTATTTACTGATGATACATTAATTGATATATATATATATATATAGGTGAAAAATTAAAGCTTCCGCCTTTTGTTGGGTACTTCGACAAAATTTAAGCAAAGAGGACTCTTTATACTTTTTTTAATTCTCTCTAGCTTTCAATGGACTTTGCCATCATCATCAGGAGCTGCAATTACAATGATAACAGTAGCAACAAAAGTGTAAAATGAATTTAAATTGAATCAACTTACAGTAGTATGTGAGGTTGTTGCTAATTGTTGTTTTCGTATAGGATGAGGGAAACGTCCAGTAACATGGTGAGAGCTGGATACATGGCACAATGGTTAAAATTATATAAAATATGACAAGACAAGTTAAAGACAGATTAAAAATTATTTAGAAAACATTAGAGCATTACGTCGTGAAGCCACTTGATGATTGCACAAAATGGTGGTCATGGAATAATGAGTGAGATGAACCTTTGACAGAAGGCCGAAGGTTGTCAATGTCTGTGTTGAAAGATGGAACGAATTGTGGGCGTGTGCCAAAACGTTGCCAAATCACTTCAGATGATGTGATTTTCAGAATGTTATGTAAGAAATTGTTAAACCGACCAGAGGCAGTTGAATAAACTATATTTTAATTAATGGGAATTTTAAATTAACAATTATAAAAATTGGAGAACTTACATATCTTCCCAAATTTCGACTTTTCACAACCATAAATATAATCTGTGTTTTGGCCGATTCCACCAACAAATTTCATTCCACTCAAAATCTAATAATTCTCTTCTCACGATTTATTAATAATTGTTAATTTAAAATTCCCTTTAATTAAAATATAGTTTAGTCAACTGCCTCTGGTCGGTTTAACAATTTCTTACATAACATTCTGAAAATCACATCATCTGAAGTGATTTGGCAACGTTTTGGCACACGCCCACAATTCGTTCCATCTTTCAACACAGACATTGACAATCTTCGGCCTTCTGTCAAAGGTTCATCTGACTCATTATTCCATGACCACCATTTTGTGCAATCATCAAGTGGCTTCACGACGTGATGCTCTAATGTTTTTTAAATAATTTTTAATCTATTTTTAACTTGTCTTGTCATATTTTATATAATTTTGACCATTGTACCATGTATCCAGCTCTCACCATGTTACTGGACGTTTCCCTCATCCTATACGTAAACAACAATTAGCAACATCCTCACATACTACTGTAAGTTGAGTCAATTTAAATTCATTTTACACTTTTGTTGCTACTGTTATCATTGTAATTGCAGCTCCTGATGATGATGGCAAAGTCCATTGAAAGCTAGAGAGAATTAAAAAAGTATAAAGAGTCCTCTTTGCTTAAATTTTGTCGAAGTACCCAACAAAAGGCGGAAGCTTTAATTTTTCACCTAACTGGTCTAGACGACAATGGCCACGTCTCAAAAATATATATATATATATATATATATATATATATACAGGGTGTTCCATAATTATTGCGACAAAATGATAGGGGTTGTAGAGGGCATAAAAATATGCAATTTTGCCTTATAAACCCCTGTTCGGAAATATGCCGTTTGAGCACTACCGCTAATTTTACCTTAAGAGAAACAAAAAATTCAACAGCTGCAAAATGTTCGTCTAGCACATTTCATGGTCTCGCCGGTTTGTAAAAAAAAGCCTGCTGTGTTTACATTTTTGTTATCGTAAATTCTCCACACCGATTCATTTAATTTATCTGAGTGGTGCGTCAAACTAGAGGCCAATCCGCGTACAAGCGTGCGTGCTATTGCACATGAAATGGGAGCGTCTCAAACTACTGCTTGGCGGGTTCTCCATGACCAGCAACTACACCCATACCACCTTTTAAAAGTCCAAGACATGGGTCCAGAAAACTATCTGCCGCGTCGACGTTTTTGTCGTTGGTGGCTGCAGCAGGAGTTGAGGCAACCAAACTTTGGTCGCTACGTTTTGTTCACTGACGAGTCCTGTTTCACAAAGGACGTTTATTTTAATAGCCGTAACAGTCACATTTGGGATGAAGAAAACCCTCATGCCATAGCCATCCATAGAGACCAACAGTTTTCAATTAACATCTGGTGCGGCATTGTGGACGAGCATATCATCGGGCCATATTTGCTTCCACCACGTTTGGATGGGCATGCTTATGGTCGATTCTTACAACATGTGCTACCGGAACTATTAGAAAATGTGCCACTGAACATAAGAGCCAACACGTGGTTTCAACACGATGGCGCTCCAGCCCACTTTTCTTTACAAGTGCGGCAGTATTTGGACGACAAATAGGTGGATAGGCCGAGGTGGCCCTGTGCCTTGGCCTGCGCGGTCACCCGACCTGACCCCACTGGATTATTTTCTCTGGGGCAATCTGAAAGCTTTAGTGTACGAAACTACTGTTCCCAACCAACAAGAGCTACTGGGAAGAGTGATGGCCGCGTCCGCACATGTTCAGGACATACCGGGGGTATGCCACAGAGTTCGTCGATCATTGAACAATCGTGCACAGCTGTGTATTGAGCAAGGTGGAGGACACTTTGAGCAATTACTGTAGGTAAGCTGTTTCAAGAAACTGATCTTTTTTTTTTGCTGCATCCCAAACGGCATATTTCCGAACAGGGGTTTATAAGGCAAAATTGTTCATTTTGATGCCCTCTACAACCCCTATCATTTTGTCGCAATAATTATGGAACACCCTGTATATATATATATATATCTCAAATAAAGAAATTTAAACTGCAATAGAGCTGTCAAATAATGATATGAAAAACGTAATAAATTGGTTAAATGTAAATAAACTTAAACTAAACAGAAACAAAACAAAATATATGCTAATATGAAAATCTTTAGATCAAAATACGGTCAATCTTACAACAAATCATGAAACAATTGTGTCAATCGGATCATTTAAATATTTGGGCATACATGTAGATAGTAAATTACAATTTGAAGGGCACTATGAATATATTATTTCAAAAATATCCAAGAAAATAAATTGCTTTTATAGAATTTCGCATAACCTAAACGTATTCTAAAAAAATTGTGTACAACACTATCATTCTTCCTCGTTTGTTATATTGTTCGACTATTTTGTTCACTGCAAATGAAACTGTATTTTCAAAATTACAAAAAAAGCTGTGATAATCATCTTAAATAAACATAAATATACTAGAATAAATTTTATCCTGAAAGAACTACAATGGTTAAATATCAAAATTTTCATAGCCTACTTGGTTTTCTTTTTCATATTCAAGTTAAAAAATCATCTTCTACCAAATCACTTAGAAAATTTTATTGTATTGAACAATGAGTGCCACAATTATTCTACTAGAGGAAGTATAGACTTTCATTTACAAAACTGCAATAGCAATATAACGAGCAAGTCAGTATTTCAAAAGAGATTGTACGAATTTAATAAATTAAGTAAAGATATCAAGACGTGTGTCAGTTTGAAAATGTTCAAAGGGAAATTGAAAAAATATCTAATGGAAAACCAGAATTCATAGTAGTGAAATTTTGTATAAAAATATGTAGTCTTGAAGACAATATATTTTGAGATATACTGTGTAATATGGACATTGTAGCATTAATGCGAAATAAATCTGAAACAAACAAACAAATATTTTATTTGAAGCAATGGTTCAAGAAAATACTTACATAAGATGACTGTTTGTGTCCCAGTACAGAATCTCAGTAACCTCGTGCCGTCCGTGACTGAGCACTGCGATATGCTGTCTCGTAACTGTCACATGCTTGATGTGAGTGTACGTTTCCCTGCTGCCCTCTCTAACAGGCGCCAACATTAAAAAACTGTCACCGTCCGGTGAGAATACCGGGTGTGCCTGAATTTCTAGCCAGGCTTTTTCTAGGGCTCTTTCTCCGTGCGTCTGTAATAGACAAGCGGAAGCGGCGATGATTTGAATTTGAACTTTACCGCCGTGTCTGTCCAGTGTATACTTGACAGGCGACAAGAGTGATAAACAGAGAGGGACCAAACCCTATTTCACGAGTATCCATTTACATTTTGACTGCTCCTGAGGTAAACAGCTGATCTGCAAGTGACAGCCTTTAGTCTAATCATATTAGCAAATTTCCCAGAAATTACTGTGAAGTGTGGTTTTATTGGTGCAAGTTGTTCAATTACACTGGACAACAAATTTTAGTTTTTTAATTGTATCTTGTGGGAAAAGTGCACTTCTTTGTTAACTTTGGGGCGCTGAATCCAAAAATAACAATGAAATAAAAAAATTAGTTGCGGTTTAGAAAAAAAACTTTTTATTTTTAAGGATATATTAAAAAAAGTAACAAGATTCATATACTCAATTACACTGGACAACAAATTTTAGTTTTTTAATTGTATCTTGTGGGAAAAGTGCACTTCTTTGTTAATTTTGGGGCGCTGAATCCAAAAATAAAAATGAAATAAAAAAATTAGTTGCGGTTTAGAAAAAAAACTTTTTATTTTTAAGGATATATTAAAAAAAGTAACAAGATTCATATACTCAATTACACTGGACAACAAATTTTAGTTTTTTAATTGTATCTTGTGGGAAAAGTGCACTTCTTTGTTAATTTTGGGGCGCTGAATCCAAAAATAACAATGAAATAAAAAAATTAGTTGCGGTTTAGAAAAAAAACTTTTTATTTTTAAGGATATATTAAAAAAAGTAACAAGATTCATATACTCAATTACACTGGACAACAAATTTTAGTTTTTTAATTGTATCTTGTGGGAAAAGTGCACTTCTTTGTTAATTTTGGGGCGCTGAATCCAAAAATAACAATGAAATAAAAAAATTAGTTGCGGTTTAGAAAAAAAAACATTTTATTTTTAAGGATATATTAAAAAAAGTAACAAGATTCATATACTCAATTACACTGGACAACAAATTTTAGTTTTTTAATTGTATCTTGTGGGAAAAGTGCACTTCTTTGTTAATTTTGGGGCGCTGAATCCAAAAATAAAAATGAAATAAAAAAATTAGTTGCGGTTTAGAAAAAAAAACATTTTATTTTTAAGGATATATTAAAAAAAGTAACAAGATTCATATACTCAATTACACTGGACAACAAATTTTAGTTTTTTAATTGTATCTTGTGGGAAAAGTGCACTTCTTTGTTAATTTTGGGGCGCTGAATCCAAAAATAACAATGAAATAAAAAAATTAGTTGCGGTTTAGAAAAAAAACTTTTTATTTTTAAGGATATATTAAAAAAAGTAACAAGATTCATATACTCAATTACACTGGACAACAAATTTTAGTTTTTTAATTGTATCTTGTGGGAAAAGTGCACTTCTTTGTTAATTTTGGGGCGCTGAATCCAAAAATAACAATGAAATAAAAAAATTAGTTGCGGTTTAGAAAAAAAAACATTTTATTTTTAAGGATATATTAAAAAAAGTAACAAGATTCATATACTCAATTACACTGGACAACAAATTTTAGTTTTTTAATTGTATCTTGTGGGAAAAGTGCACTTCTTTGTTAATTTTGGGGCGCTGAATCCAAAAATAACAATGAAATAAAAAAATTAGTTGCGGTTTAGAAAAAAAACATTTTATTTTTAAGGATATATTAAAAAAAGTAACAAGATTCATATACTCAATTACACTGGACAACAAATTTTAGTTTTTTAATTGTATCTTGTGGGAAAAGTGCACTTCTTTGTTAATTTTGGGGCGCTGAATCCAAAAATAACAATGAAATAAAAAAATTAGTTGCGGTTTAGAAAAAAAACTTTTTATTTTTAAGGATATATTAAAAAAAGTAACAAGATTCATATACTCAATTACACTGGACAACAAATTTTAGTTTTTTAATTGTATCTTGTGGGAAAAGTGCACTTCTTTGTTAATTTTGGGGCGCTGAATCCAAAAATAACAATGAATTAAAAAAATTAGTTGCGGTTTAGAAAAAAAACATTTTACTTTTAAGGATATATTAAAAAAAGTAACAAGATTCATATACTCAATTACACTGGACAACAAATTTTAGTTTTTTAATTGTATCTTGTGGGAAAAGTGCACTTCTTTGTTAATTTTGGGGCGCTGAATCCAAAAATAAAAATGAAATAAAAAAATTAGTTGCGGTTTAGAAAAAAAACTTTTTATTTTTAAGGATATATTAAAAAAAGTAACAAGATTCATATACTCAATTACACTGGACAACAAATTTTAGTTTTTTAATTGTATCTTGTGGGAAAAGTGCACTTCTTTGTTAATTTTGGGGCGCTGAATCCAAAAATAACAATGAAATAAAAAAATTAGTTGCGGTTTAGAAAAAAAACTTTTTATTTTTAAGGATATATTAAAAAAAGTAACAAGATTCATATACTCAATTACACTGGACAACAAATTTTAGTTTTTTAATTGTATCTTGTGGGAAAAGTGCACTTCTTTGTTAATTTTGGGGCGCTGAATCCAAAAATAACAATGAAATAAAAAAATTAGTTGCGGTTTAGAAAAAAAAACATTTTATTTTTAAGGATATATTAAAAAAAGTAACAAGATTCATATACTCAATTACACTGGACAACAAATTTTAGTTTTTTAATTGTATCTTGTGGGAAAAGTGCACTTCTTTGTTAATTTTGGGGCGCTGAATCCAAAAATAAAAATGAAATAAAAAAATTAGTTGCGGTTTAGAAAAAAAACTTTTTATTTTTAAGGATATATTAAAAAAAGTAACAAGATTCATATACTCAATTACACTGGACAACAAATTTTAGTTTTTTAATTGTATCTTGTGGGAAAAGTGCACTTCTTTGTTAATTTTGGGGCGCTGAATCCAAAAATAACAATGAAATAAAAAAATTAGTTGCGGTTTAGAAAAAAAACTTTTTATTTTTAAGGATATATTAAAAAAAGTAACAAGATTCATATACTCAATTACACTGGACAACAAATTTTAGTTTTTTAATTGTATCTTGTGGGAAAAGTGCACTTCTTTGTTAATTTTGGGGCGCTGAATCCAAAAATAACAATGAAATAAAAAAATTAGTTGCGGTTTAGAAAAAAAACTTTTTATTTTTAAGGATATATTAAAAAAAGTAACAAGATTCATATACTCAATTACACTGGACAACAAATTTTAGTTTTTTAATTGTATCTTGTGGGAAAAGTGCACTTCTTTGTTAATTTTGGGGCGCTGAATCCAAAAATAACAATGAAATAAAAAAATTAGTTGCGGTTTAGAAAAAAAAACATTTTATTTTTAAGGATATATTAAAAAAAGTAACAAGATTCATATACTCAATTACACTGGACAACAAATTTTAGTTTTTTAATTGTATCTTGTGGGAAAAGTGCACTTCTTTGTTAATTTTGGGGCGCTGAATCCAAAAATAACAATGAAATAAAAAAATTAGTTGCGGTTTAGAAAAAAAACTTTTTATTTTTAAGGATATATTAAAAAAAGTAACAAGATTCATATACTCAATTACACTGGACAACAAATTTTAGTTTTTTAATTGTATCTTGTGGGAAAAGTGCACTTCTTTGTTAATTTTGGGGCGCTGAATCCAAAAATAACAATGAAATAAAAAAATTAGTTGCGGTTTAGAAAAAAAAACATTTTATTTTTAAGGATATATTAAAAAAAGTAACAAGATTCATATACTCAATTACACTGGACAACAAATTTTAGTTTTTTAATTGTATCTTGTGGGAAAAGTGCACTTCTTTGTTAATTTTGGGGCGCTGAATCCAAAAATAACAATGAAATAAAAAAATTAGTTGCGGTTTAGAAAAAAAACATTTTATTTTTAAGGATATATTAAAAAAAGTAACAAGATTCATATACTCAATTACACTGGACAACAAATTTTAGTTTTTTAATTGTATCTTGTGGGAAAAGTGCACTTCTTTGTTAATTTTGGGGCGCTGAATCCAAAAATAACAATGAAATAAAAAAATTAGTTGCGGTTTAGAAAAAAAACTTTTTATTTTTAAGGATATATTAAAAAAAGTAACAAGATTCATATACTCAATTACACTGGACAACAAATTTTAGTTTTTTAATTGTATCTTGTGGGAAAAGTGCACTTCTTTGTTAATTTTGGGGCGCTGAATCCAAAAATAACAATGAAATAAAAAAATTAGTTGCGGTTTAGAAAAAAAACTTTTTATTTTTAAGGATATATTAAAAAAAGTAACAAGATTCATATACTCAATTACACTGGACAACAAATTTTAGTTTTTTAATTGTATCTTGTGGGAAAAGTGCACTTCTTTGTTAATTTTGGGGCGCTGAATCCAAAAATAACAATGAAATAAAAAAATTAGTTGCGGTTTAGAAAAAAAAACATTTTATTTTTAAGGATATATTAAAAAAAGTAACAAGATTCATATACTCAATTACACTGGACAACAAATTTTAGTTTTTTAATTGTATCTTGTGGGAAAAGTGCACTTCTTTGTTAATTTTGGGGCGCTGAATCCAAAAATAACAATGAAATAAAAAAATTAGTTGCGGTTTAGAAAAAAAACTTTTTATTTTTAAGGATATATTAAAAAAAGTAACAAGATTCATATACTCAATTACACTGGACAACAAATTTTAGTTTTTTAATTGTATCTTGTGGGAAAAGTGCACTTCTTTGTTAATTTTGGGGCGCTGAATCCAAAAATAACAATGAAATAAAAAAATTAGTTGCGGTTTAGAAAAAAAAACATTTTATTTTTAAGGATATATTAAAAAAAGTAACAAGATTCATATACTCAATTACACTGGACAACAAATTTTAGTTTTTTAATTGTATCTTGTGGGAAAAGTGCACTTCTTTGTTAATTTTGGGGCGCTGAATCCAAAAATAACAATGAAATAAAAAAATTAGTTGCGGTTTAGAAAAAAAACATTTTATTTTTAAGGATATATTAAAAAAAGTA